TTACAATTTGCATTCCAATTCCTTCCATATCTTTTTAAAAGAGGAAATGCACCGTTGATTTTAGGTCTCATTATCTTGACTATCCTGAGTTTGCAAATGGAAATTAAACTCATGATTAATATAATCCCTATCATTTCTTTCTTCTGGATTAAATACATGTGCACACACCACAAATTTAAATATTAAGAAATCAGCAATCAAAATCAATTATTTTACCCATCTGCAGTCTGAGCCCAATGAAGGTCTGATGACAGGAGACCTCCCTCTGCCTCCTCCCTGCTCTCCTTCCTTTCCACCTTTCCAAAAGCATTTGCTTTGTTCTCAAGTATTGCTTAGGTGTTGAGAATACAAGAAAGTAAAATACAAACTTTCCTGCAGGGAAATTACAATTTGGTACCATTTCACACAACCGATTATAAAACAATGTGAAAGTGAGGGAACAAGGTACAAGAAGAACATGGAAGAAACAGAATGTTCAGGGTGCTTGGGCACTGAGTATAGTGGGAAAAATTCTCCAAAAGGGACAATTTCTCAGTTTGACTTGGAGAGTTGGAGAAGCCAAGAAAAGAAACTAAAGGCCCTTGGCAGAGGGAACAGCAGGTGCGAAGTATCCAAGACCACCGGCAGGTTCAGTGAAATGCATGGGGCACCCGGCCTCTGCTCTCTCGCTCCCTGACCACACACTCCCGCAGTCACCTGCACACCCTCAGAGGAGACTAGAAGCCTGGGGTTGTTGTGTTAGAACTGGACACACTGGGAGAAGGGCAGGGAGGGCTCTATAGAACAAGGAATGACTTTTGTTTCTAGCACAAAGAAAAATGCATTATGAGCATATTCAAATAAACGAGTGCACCGTGAATGGTGCTACATTTAAAATTCTTGGACAAAGGCTTTTCTTCTTGTTCCAGATTATTCAGGTTAATGTGAGAAAAGACTCAACCAACAATACTTGTTCACAAATTGGATATGAGCTGTTCTTTCATTCAGCAATTATTTATTGGGTGTCTGCGATGGGCAGCTGTCAAGTGTTCTTATACTGTGACATATTCTAGTGGCTTCCATTCACTTAAAGTATCTTTCTGGATTAAAAAACTATCATTGCCAGAAATCAATTTCAAAACTCATCAAGGCTAATTCAAGTGACTCAGCAACAATATTGAAGTTTTTATGCAAATGTGACATAAAAAAATTGTTAGAAGAAAACTGTCTCATTGCCCTTAGTAATATTATTAATATCACAGAACTGAAAAGGGCTTCCTTGATAAAACTGAGGGTGTAGTGCCACCTTGTGGCACTACTCAATTATGCGCTGTAACATTAATGGTATTAGCTTCCTAATGCAGCTGTCACAAATTATCACAGACTTGGTGAAAACAACACAAATTTGTTATCTCATCATCCTGAAGGTCATAGTCTCCTAATGGATCTCAAGGGATAAAATCAAGGTGTCATCAGGGCTGAGTTCCTTTAAGGCCCTAGTGAAGAATCTGTTTCCTTGCAATTTTCTTTTAAAGGTTGCCTGACAACTATACACAACTATACATCAGAGACATTCAGCAGGGGAGGAGGAGGGAGAGGGATTGAAACAGAGGTGGGAAGAGCACAAGGGACTATGGCGATGGTTCATGGGTGACTTGGTGGTGGGAATTTTATGGGGACTACACCTGAGAGAAATCAAACATTGACAAAAATGAACAATGATGTAAAAAAATATATATTTACATATATATAATTATATATATATATCAAAACAATAAAGGTTACCTGAATTCCTTAGCTGGTGGCCCCCTACCATCTTCAGACACATCCTGTCTCTTCTTTCACTTATAAAGACCCTTTCGATTATAGCGGACCCACCTGCATAATCCAGGATCATCTCCCTAAACTAGGGACTCTGACAGGTAGTTACTCAACTTCACATAACTTATAAATGGCAGGTTTAGCATTTGAACCTGGACTGATTTCAAAGACCCCAACACCTCAGGTGCCACTTTGTGATGATGGTGCCATTCATTACCTGTGCCTGCTCCAGATGGGTCACCACTGCAGAGGTGGGTGGTGCTGTGGTGGCTTGGAGTAGCTTCAGTCCAAAAAGCTGACATTTGAACCTATGTCCACCTTTGATCTCACCTTGCAATCCCTCCAAGCGATCAGGGTCATGCCTGATGGGCTGCTATGCAACTTTACTAGGCCAAATTGACAGAGGAACTCCCCCGCTGTCCTATCTTCCTTAACTCTCAACAAGCTGAACTGCAATGGTAAGGCTGAGGCCCAGACCAGAAGAAGAAAACACTTATAAAGTTAGGGACTAATAGTGAATTACAGACACCCACTCCACCCCAATTTCCTGTCATGCTCTGATTTATTCATGAGGGTCTTTCTGTTTGAGGTCACATATCAATAATGTCAAAAAATGTTGAAGTTACCCTGAGTCTATGGAGGTAATTCGAGTGTTTTCCAAATGTCATCTATAACAGAAGTTTAACATGACAAATTCTGCTGTTCTCTATGAGTATGCAGGAGAAAAAGTATAGAGGAAATAAGGCTGGGGCAGGCCTTGACTGTCCTGACACCATGCCCCTCTCACCTTTTCCTGATCGCTAGAAAAATTTTAAAATTGTGAATAAATGGACTGCATTGAGGGCCTTCCTGGTGGTACAGGGGTTAAAGTCTCAGTGCTATCAATCTATCACCAGCCACTGCTATACCGAGTTTGAGTTCAAGGCCCGAGTAGAATCCCCGGCCAGAGAGCTAATCCCCATGGCTCAGCAGACCTTTCCTGACTCGCCTGCTGTTCCCCTCACCAGTGTATTTCAGTCAATCTGCCTGTTCTGTTCCCCACTGTCTCTGGTGAATCCTCTCACTCTCCACACCTCTGGCCTGTACCCCGGTTCTTGTATGCATAAATAAATACATCTTTTGAAAAAATAAAAAAAATAATGGACTGCACCAATGGAAAGACAAAGTTTTAAATATTGATATCCATACTTAAAGCCTTAGCTTAAGTATGGGCAAGAAGTCCCAAGGACCGCCTTCTTTTATGGAACATCTCTCACCTGGAAATTCCATTATTCCTGGAAATATATTGGGAGATAAAATGGCTTTAAAATACCAGTAATTAGAAGATGCATGAGAGCAGTGGAAACCTGGACTAGCCATCATAGGACATGCTAATAAGGCTGTTTGGAAAAAACATCCAAGGGTACCAGATGATTCCTGTGTGAGGGCTTTATGTGTCATTCTTCACAATATTCTGATGAGTTCTCTTACTGTGAAGGGGAAGCTGAGGTGTACAGGTCACACAGCTGGAACATGGATAAGGGGAAGCGGGGTCTCTGAAGCTCAGATTCTCACCCTTATCCTCTACCAGATTTCAGTCGTGGAACTTCTTGTTTCCACCGTGGCTTGCTTTACATCAACAGGGGCGCTGGTCCTCTAGACAGTACTGATGGCTGGTTGTTGGCTTCAGATATCTGATTCCTTGAAGAGTGTTTTGAAAGATCTTCAAAGGAAGGGAAGTCATGTAGCCCAGCCTCTGTAATAGGTTTGTGAGTAACCAGAATAGGCACTGCTCAGAACTCTCTCCTAAGAATCAAGGTTCACAGGAACCTCCTAGTTATATCTTCATTTGCTGAATTCAAATGAAAATAAAGGGAAAAGACAACTGGTGCCCAGGTTCCCAGGAGTGGGGCTAACAGTATCATAGGAGCAGTCCAGCACTGGTTAGTTTAGAAATAAGTACACGACATCACCGCAACTGTGAATGAGCGGGCAGTGCGGAATGGTGCCGTAAATGGGCATTCACAAAGCGTGTCCTCATCTATCTCAAGCATATCTGAAAGACATCCAGCAAAAACTCCAATTTCATAAAAGTGCTTTTTCTTAAAGTATGATGGATGAGCTCATGTTGTGCTAACAAATATACCACTGGCTGTGATAGTGAAGGCAAAGATAAACAGCTGGGACTACATCAAATTAAAGAGCTTCTGCACAGCAAAAGAGACAATAACCAAAACAAAGAGAAACCCCACCAACTGGGAGAACATTTTTGCACCCAACACTAATGATAAAGGTCTGATCACAAAAATCTGCAAAGAGCTGATGAGACTCAACAATAACAAAGAAAATAATCCAGTCAAAAAATGGGCAGAAGAGCTAAAAAGAAACTTCTCTGAAGAGGAAATGCAAATGGCCAACAGGCATATGAAAAAATGTTCAACATCACTTGTAATCAGGGAAATGCAAATCAAAACTACCATGAGATACCATCTTACACCAGTGAGAATGGCACATATGAAAAAAACTAGCAACAACAAATGTTGGCGAGGGTGTGGAGAAAAAGGAACTCTCCTGCACTGCTGGTGGGAGTGCAAACTGGTCCAACCACTATGGAGAGCTGTGTGGAGATTTCTGGACCTACTAAACATAGAGCTTCCATATGATCCAGCAATTCCACTCCTCGGTATTTACCCAAAGGACACAGAAACATCCATTCCAAAGAGCACCTGCACCCCTATGTTTATAGCAGCACTGTTTACAATAGCTAAGCTTTGGAAACAGCCCAAATGCCCAAAAATAGATGACTGGATCAAGAAGATGTGGTGCATATATACCATGGAATATTACTCAGCATTCAGAAAAGATAAACACATGCAATTTGCAGCAACATGGATGGCGCTGGAAGGGATCATGCTCAGCGAAATAAGCCAGGAAGAAAAAGAAAAATACCGGATGGTCTCACTCATAGCAGGAATCTAGAAAACTTAAATAAGGGACTAGGAAAATGAATAACTATAAGAAAGTGAAAATCGAAATCAACAAAAAACTATGAAACAGAGACACTTTTTGGGGGATGGGGGGTGGGAGGGGAGGGATTGGGGTCAGAATGGGGGGGTTGCAATTGTATGGGGAATATAAAAATAAAATTTATTATTTAAAAAAAACAAATATACCACTGGCTTTTTGCAGACTATTTGCAATATGATAATATATTGCTAGCAGCCCATGGTCATGCCTACTAAATCAAAATGAATTTTGGAGAGAATATCATACAAAGAGGGAAGGACATTGACTAAAAGCTTCTTGAGAACCTGGCACACTTGAGAATAGCTATCAACAGAAAGTATTTTGAAAGAAACTAAAAGAAAATCCCTCCCTAGATACTAGGAAATAAATACTTGGTAATTATCAGAGGGGAATGGCCCATTAAATCTGTCACATTTTTAAAAAAGCTGCTCAAAAACACACTACAGTGGTATTTGTACATAATCCACAAGACTGTTCTGCGTATTCCTCATTGGTAAATGAAACACAAATGAAGGCTGTCTTGATAAACTAAATACCTTACCATTTCAAATACACAGGAATTACTAAGTTGGTTCTAAATAACAAGTAGGGACTGAATTTTACTCTTCAAAAAGAATTACAGTCCATAAGAACTAAACAATCTGAGTGTTTCTAAAAAGGAAATGCCCTTTTATTCTACCTGAGTTAAAATAACGGAGTTACATCAGAGTTCATGGATATCATAATTAATGACTTCTAAACCAGATTCGTAAGATTAATGCCAAGAACACACTGAAATCACATAAAATTCATTAGTGCTAGCACATGATTTTAAATCTTAAATCCTCAATACACACCTTTTTATTTTTTAGCACACAAAATAATTTACTCTCAAGTAACATCTATTTACAGAACTCTAATAGAAAACTTTGAAAAATTTAAAAATAATAGTACTACTCTGTAATTCTGATCTTACAGAGAAATAAAGTTTTGGCACATAATGTTCTTTCAATATTAGAAAGCTAGATGAGTTTGCTTTGTCGTTCACACAAAAATTAAATAAATAAATATCCACACTATCAGCTTGGGGAAACCGACTTGTTGACAAGAAATGCTGGCTGGAAACAGAATCCCTGAGAAAACGGGATCTGGTGCCATCTACTGAGTGGAAAAGGTAACGTGTCCCCAGAGTATGGCCGTCAGTTTAGGTAACACACCCTCATCTTGGATACATGCAACTCTACTGTACACATGCAGTAAAGGCCTGAAAGTTACATGCAAGAATGAAAATGACTCGTGTTCAGACAGGGAAATGATGGAAATTTTGTTTTTCTTATTTAAATGCTATCCTACCTTTCAAAGTAAAAGAAATCAAGTTGGCAGTTAAAAATGACTACTGAGGGGCCTCCGTGGTGCTGCAAGAGGTTAGGACGCAACCTATGAAGCTATCCGCATCCACTGCAGCACAAGCTCGATCTCTGGCCAGCCAGGGAGCTATCCACATGGCACAGCAGACCTTTCTGACTCACCCACTGCTCCCCTCAGCATTGTACTTCAGTCAATCTGCCTGTTCTGTTTCCCACTGTGTCTTTGGTGAATCCTCTCACACCCCACACCTCTGACCACACCCAGTTCTTGTATGCATAAATAAATAAATCTTAAAAAATAAATGACTACTGAACATAAAGGATACTAAAGTACCCACTTCTCTGAAGTAGAAGATTTTGGCAAATTGAATAAATGAAAAGTTCCACAATGAAGGTAGGGTCTCTTATTCATAGAAGGCTGGTGGAAAAAATTATTTGAAAAAAATTATCAACCCAGAATGCCAATAAAGTGGCACTTTGGAACTGTAACAATGATAGGGGCCCACATTGACCAACAGGAAGGCGTTTCTGGTTAACAAAGAAAAGTTAATTTTTGCTTGGTTGAGTTTGTTCAAATAAACCTCAATACCAAAAATGCTGGAGAACTTTTGGTGAGAGTTGGGTCAAAATTCCAACAGTCTTGGGAAGGTACACTTCTGCAACATTTTCATCAGTGGGTAAGTATGTTTGTTATTTTTTTGGTAGTAGCCTTACTTTCTTCTAAGACCAGGGTGTCCTGAGTACTATAAGGATGCCGAGGATTAGTTTATAGTTTTCCTTTTGACCATAACATCTCTCACTATCCATACCCTGCTTTTCAGATGTCTTCAGGACAGCCTCAGGAACCTTCTCTATTCTATTCATTACCATATACCAGCATTTAATTATGTCTGGCACAAATGCTAATAAATGTCAGTTGGTTGAGTAAATAATTGAATGAATCTCATATATTGCAAATGACCAAGGGGAAAAGTGGAAAAAAAAAAATCACAAAAGAGGGCAATGATGGAAAGGAAGAAAGATCAGTAACAGCTCCATCAAATGGGGGTAGACTTGACGCCAAAATAGTTGCTATCATTCAACATGATATGTTTGGGGGTTCAAAATACCTAAAAGGTTTTAGCTGAAAGTTAATATTAAAGCAAAGTGTTCTCTGGAAGACTCGTTTACAATAAGTCAATGAAAACTGTTACTACATAAATATGTAATTGGTGCCTAGTGTTTTGTTGTTTCAAGATGGAGAAGACTCTGCTGAATAGACGAGGTGAATGTCTAGAGTCCCATAGAGAGAGCGTAGCACACAGAGGACTTTTTCTTGAATGGTGTCAACTTGTTCACTAGGGCAGTAATCATCCAGACTTGACCTGGAATCAAAGGAGAAAAAGACACATAGGTAGGATGAGATCATACTGTGCAGTAAGGAAAAGTCCGCATGTGTTGATTTCAACGTAAAACACAAATGCAGGTATACTGAATTTTGAGACCACAGTTGAAAGTTACTGAAGTTTACCCTATGTCAGTTGTATTAAATGAATTATGCTCTTTAATCTTCTCAGCAACTCTGAAATAGCATTTTCCATCCTTTTAAAAAGAAATGTGAAACAGAGAAAGAGTAACCTGCACAGGGTCACATAACTAGAAAGTGCTGATGATGAGCTCCGTAACAATAGGGCACGTCTTCAAATATCAGTGCTTGAGAATACTGGGGCTTATCTTAGTGACCAGACATCTTTCTCATTCTTTCACTATGTATACACCAGGGCTAGAAATTGTGAGGCAGAGGTTTTCCAACTGATAAGTGTCTGCTTTAAACATAAGTTATTAGCCATGCAGGTGTGAAGGACAGTTGAAAATGAAATGTGGTGTGCTGGAGCTGGGGATAGTTCCTAGGTAGTAGTAAGAAGAACAGAACAACAGGAGAGTGGGCAGGAATTTGTATTTGGGGAGAAGGATATTTGAAGATCGACAGAAAACTTATGATATGCAGGCTAGTACTGCAATGAGAATTTGTTCTGCTTATTTTCCAAAGTCCAGAGTATTCACATAAGTGAAAAGCCCATTTTTAATTTTTTAAGCCAGAATTTAACACTCTTTTACGTACATACAAAGTACTTTTGAAAATGGATTAAATATAAATTTTGTAAAAATAAAACTACTCTGTGAGAAAAGATTAGACTTTAAGGTCAGAACATTACCACGAGGCATGACAGCATAGTTCTTGATGGTAACTGGCCAACAGCACACCAGTATCCATCTGCACGCTGAGTGACACTTGTGAGACACAAGTCTAGTGTGGTGTTTTAACACATATTTTATCATTTAGTTATTTTCATTTCTCCTTTGTTACTGTTTTTTTTTTTGTGTGTGTGAACACATAAAACATATATTTAAAATGTGTATAAGTAGATCATTGCTATAGATTAAATGTTTGTTTCTTCCTGAAATTCATGCTGACATCTAATCTTCACTGTGAATATTTGAAGGTAGGGTCTTTGGGAGGTATTTAGGTTATGAGGATGGATTCCTCATGATTGAGATTAGTCTCTTTATAAAAGAGGCCCCAGAGAGCTGTTTGAACCCTTCTAGCAGGTGAGGTTATAGAGAGATGACAATGAATCAGTAATTAGGTAGTCACCAGAAACATATTTTTGTTGTTTATAACAGTATTTTTGTTACCGCAGCCTGAGCAGGCTTAAGAGTTACATTACCCATGTAATATATTTGTATTTTTAAATCATGTGGTGAGATTTAAAGCATGGTCAGATTTTCTATAAATTTCATTTCAGGATGCTAAGAGTGTTACAAAATATTTGGTGTAAGATGTCATATAAATATTTTTATTATTGGGCCTCCCCGGTGGCGCAGCGGTTGAGCGTTGGGTTGTGAAGCTGCCCGCAGTCTCTGCAGCGCCGGTTCAATCCCCGGCTGCTCCCTGGCCACCGGAGGAGGGTCCCACATGGCGCGCAGACCTCTCCTGCCACCCGCTGCTCCCCTCAGCAGTGTACTTCGGTCCTTCTGCCTGCTCTGCTCCCCGCTCTGGCTCTGGTGAATTCTCTCACCCTCCCGCGCTTCTGACTGTACCCAATGCTTGTATAAATAAATAAAAAATAAATCTTTCAAATAAATAAATAAAAAGTAAATAAAAAAAAATTTTTATTATTAGTTTGATTGCTTAAAGTATTTCTTTCAGAATCTCACAGTTCTACATAAAACCAGTCCAAAAATTAAGACAGGAAAGAAAATATTACTAAGCTATTGGAACTATTCAGCACATTATTTGCTGTATGCTCAAATTTAAAACATGGTACTAGCTGACTATTCATCCATAGGATGCAGAAGTGGGAGTTCTTGAGTTCACTGGAATAATGCTACCAATGTCAAAGATAACAAGAACTAAATATTACTTACTGGCCTATCACTAACAGGAAATAAAACAGATCTGAAAAAACTGTTAAAATTACTGAATTAGTAATCAGATTCACCTATTGGAAAGGATATTAATTTCCTATTGCTACTGTAACAAAAATACTACAGACTAAGTGGCTCAAAGCAACACAACTTTATTAATCTGACAGTTTTGTTAGGGTTAGAAGTCCTTAAGTAATGATGGTGGTGGGGTTGTTTCTTCTCCAGGCTTTGGGGGGATTGTTTCCTTGCTTTTCAACTTCTAGAAGCTGCCTGCATTTTTGCTCATGGCATCTACCCCATCTTCAAATCCAACAGCCCAGCAGTTTCTGATTTCTGATTCTGACCCTCCCGCCCTCTTCTTCTAAGAACCGTTGTGACTACACTGGCCCAAGCTGGATGATCCAGCATCATCTCATCTCAACATCCTGGAGTTGAGAACAAAGTCCCTTCATACATGACACAGGAGATTCATAGGTTCTGGAGATTATGACCTGGGCATTGTTGGTGCATCATTAATTCAAGCTATTATACTTACCTTGCTATTGTCACAAGAGCAGGTTTTGGTAAGTTTTTCAGTAAATAATACACAGCCTGGATAAGATACTCAATTTCTTGTTCTGTGCTGACATGATGAGGAAGTTCTGAATAATCACAGGTTAGACCAGCTTGGTGAACCTGAAAAGAAGACAATTAAATATTGCATTGGAAGGCTTTGTAATTTTCAGAAGTTTCTTTACCCATTAGGGGTCTTGCTAACAAATCTTACATTATTTTTGTGGATTTTTTTTTTCTTAACAGTTTCTGGGCCATAGAAGTTATATATTCTATTAATTTTTGGTAGAACTGGCCTGTACACCTGTTTGGGCCTGATGCCTTTTCTAGGAGTAATTTTTTAACTTCTTTATTTATTTTATGATTATGGGTTCACTTAGATTCTGCCTTTCCTTGAGTAAATTTTAATAATTTTGTTTTTTTTAAATATTTTATTTTATATAATTCTTATATCATTTTTCCTCTTTGCACAAAGTATGCATTTTCATTATGGTTATATCCCCATACAGGTGCACCCCCCCCCCCTTATTTTGACTCTAAATTCTTTTAAAATCTCCTCATTAATTATGCATTTCAGCTAGATTCTAAAAACTTATATAAAGCTCTATATATTCTCACCTCATCTCATAACACATGATTGTATTTATTTCTAAAATACATGCACCTAGTATTACACTCAAAGTTTTGAGAAAATACAAAGCAAGCAGTCTTCTTCCTATCTTATTTAGCACTATTATCCATTGGTATTTATAAATATATGTTTTAAATATAAATGATTATGTTCTAATCTTAGCATTAATATAAAATATATTCCTCAAAGCTAGAAGTGGCTCACAGGCTAACATTTTGCAATCTCTGCTTTAAAGTGCTAAAAATGGAAACTCAAATATGCCATGGTTTTGCTTAGTCTATGTAAATACAAAGCATGGGAAAAAAACACTAATCTGTTACTTTATTTGAGGTTCTGGATATACATCAAAGAGTTAAATGTTAATGACCAGTCAATGTAGTAAAATGAGATTCTACATGTTCATTTCTACCAAAATGAGCAAAACACTAAGTGTTCTATCCCCATAGTTATTGGCCTATCATATTTGATGACATAATCTGTAACTAAGCCCAGGTCATCCCTTCTTTTACGAAGCACACCATCACCCAATCACCCCAAACTCTAGATGAACCGTAAGGATTAAAGATTACTTGCATGAGAATACATTCAATGATATTATTCTCAAACCCTAAGTGTCTTCTAATGTTAACATTAATAATTCCCATTAAAAAAAAGTCTGTGTCTTGAATTAGTTCCAACTTAACAAAAATACTTCATTGGTATTTTTTAGTCTTATTGATATACAGATTACATTAAAGCAACTTAGTTTAAATATGGTGGTGTGATTGTATTCTACAACTAAATAAAATACAAACTAAAAGCAAAACACAAAATGAAGTAAAAACACGAGTTATTGAAGCTCCAGATGGCATAAGAGCTGGAGGTCTTATCTCTGGTACAAAATCTGAGAAAAGACCCATGAAAACATATGCTTCAAAGATTAGAAAATGCTATAAAAATAAATTATCACTGAAGAGCTCCTCTTTTGCCACAGTATTCCTGTCAGTGTTGGCAAACAAAATCAGTCACACATCTAACTCACCACACTGCTCTCTTTTGCCTTTCTCTTTGTTCTTCATAATCAGAAAAGGCTTCAGAGAGAAAGGAAAAGAAAGAAGGTAGTATAAATATGAATCAATAAAGAACGGACAACGTTAGAAACCATATACTTTCTTTTGTCTGGTTAGAAGAGATCTGCTCAAGGGTGAAGTTAAAAAATATACAGCACTTTTGCCTCATACATAAAATTGGGAAAAGAAAGTTTTCCTAGGAGAACTACCAGAGTTGTAGCTTCTAAAATGTATTGGCTTTTTCATTTATTTCTTCTTTTTAAAAATAATTTATTCAGCTATCCAAGGTACACAGAAAAAAGTGAAATCACTACAAGCACATTTTTATACCTAGAAAAATGTCTTTCTAAAGACTCAACTCTATAGTTAGATAAAAAAGATTTACCATTTCATAATCCGGTACTTCCATCCGTTTTTTCAAACTCTGCACAAGTGGAACTAGAGATTCCATCCTGAAAAAGAGCCACCTCAATTAAACACTGTATCACCGTAATTAAAATCATTTGCAATGGCAAATGATACAGTGCACTTTAAACTTATCAAAAGCATAATTCATGTGATGCTTAGGAAATGAAAGATAAAACGACTCAAATGACATTTCAAAATAGTAACAAATGTTCCCTGTTTTCTTTTTTTTTTTAACTTTTTTTTTTTAATAGAGGCATGTTTTATTTATTTATTTGTTTGTTTGTTTGTTTTGTTTATACAAGCACTGGGTACAGTCAGAAGCGCGGGAGGGTGAGAGAATTCACCAGAGCCAGAGCAGGGAGCAGAGCAGAGCAGACCAAAGTACACTGCTGAGAGGAGCAGCGGGCGGCAGGAGAGGTCTGCGCGCCATGTGGGACCCTCCTCTGGTGGCCGGGGAGCAGCCAGGGATCGAACCAGCACTGCAGAGGCTGCGGGCAGCTTCGCAACCCAGCGCTCAACTGCTGCGCCACCGGGGAGGCCCCCTGTTGTTTTCTTACCTAAGAGAATACAGATTATGTTAAAGGTTGAATATTAGCCCTTAGGAAAAAGAAATTTCCTTCTTTAAAAGTAAAAGTTCTATTGTAACTTTAAAAATGACTTTGGTCAGCAAGAAAACTAAGTCTTTGAAAAATGATAGTTTCCTGAAAGTTAAAGACAAAACTTTGGGCATATTTATTAGGATATACAATTATAGCCAGAAAAGGTCTGCATCACTTCATAACAATGGTGCTTTTAAGTTCTTTAATTTAGGGCATACTCTTTGGAAGCCCCGATGAATAACTGACTTCAGTATACTATGGACACTCCTTCACGAGTAACTGCTCTTTGCTGGAAGGAAAAAGAAAGAAAGGAAAAGGAGGCACGGTAGCCCGTCCACCATTCTTCCTGGTACTTCCCATTTACAATAATGATACTTTCCGGGCTTCTCTACTCTGAACACCTGCCTCCTCTACTTTCTTAGGAATAAATAGTGACAATGCCTTTGTTTTTTTTTTTTTTTAAGATTTATTTATTTATTTATTCATTTATACAAGCACTGAGTATAGTCAGAAGTGCGGGAGGGTGAGAGAATTCACCAGAGCCAGAGCGGGGAGCAGAGCAGGCAGAAGGACCGAAGTACACTGCTGAGGGGAGCAGCGGGCGGCAGGAGAGGTCTGCGCGCCATGTGGGATCCTCCTCTGGTGGCCGGGAGCAGCCGGGGATCGAACCGGCGCTGCAGAGGCTGCAGGCAGCTTCACAACCCAGCGCTCAACCGCTGCGCCACCAGGGAGGCCCAGTGACAATGCCTTTATGCTGAAGGTCTGACCCTTCAGGGGCACGGTTACTTTGGGAAGACATTTCTAGCTCTCTTATCTACTGTTCTTTTGTCTGCTCCCCAACCCCCCAAATGTACTCAAGGATGAAGTTAAAAAATATACAGCATTTTTGCTGTGTAAGTCTAAGCTCAACACTGCTGTAGCCTTGTCTGTGATGGAATTCCCTGATGTGATGAAGCATTAACTGGGCATGCTCAGCAGGCACCTGGATTTTGGTGGAAGGTGGCCCCTTTTATGTACTTTTACCAGGATATTTTGTTTTAAGTTTTAAACTTGGCTCAAGACTTCACAAATCACAAAATAGCAAGTATGCTTCAATATTTCTAGGAAGACCCACATCCTGTGATGTATTTTAGATTTCCCTCTTCCATCAAAATCACAAAAAGGAGTTATTTTTAAAACTACTTCCTTATATTTAAGAGAAAAAGTCTTAACAAATTTTAAAGTGCTTGGTCAATATTTACCGACATGATTAATACTATTATGGATTATTCGCCCATGCCACTGCTTTTCTTAGTGATAATAATAATGTTTGTATTTCAAGGAAATTTCTGAATATTTTAAGTAAACATTACACTGAGTATTTTGAATAGTAATACCCATATATAGCAAAAAGAGGTATTTTTCCCTCATATACTTTATTCTTTTACCATGAAATTCCCTAGATTAACTGACATTCTAGGTTTTTCTGTATTCTTCTAGAGACTTGATGAATTATTTTCAATAACTATGACATAGGAAATTGTTGCGGCTCAAAGCGCTATGATTTTAACTCCTCATGTTATGTTGTTGTTTCGTGATTAAATTCCAGTATTTATACACTGGAGAAAAATCTCAGTTTCTGGGAGATTCATTTTAAAATAAGCTAGTTCTGGATTTCCTATGCTCATAGGGCCTAAAAGCTTGTCTGATGGTTTGATTTTAGTTTTTCTGACCTTTTGAAGTTTACATGATTTAAAGAAATATTTTAGAATATTTAGAACAACTACCTGATTATGTCAATATTATTTCAAGCCAACGTTAATCCTTCATCCTACCCCCTCATTTTGGAGTGATCACTCCAAAAGAACTTCTCATCTTTTCATCTTCTCAAGGTAAATGTTAACATTAAGAGAACTGGCCAAATGCCCTGAAGTAGTATCCAGTTTTTCAACTTGCTCCCTATGCCATGAACAGTTTGAAAATAAACTCTTCTACTTGTATTGGGTTAGCCTTAAAAGGAGGCAAGTTTTCACAGTATAATTTACCTGTCAAATAATTTACTTTTCTAAGAATAACTATAAGAAAGAAAATATCAACTATGAACAGAGACACTCTGTAGGGGGTTGGGGGGACAGGGAAAGGAGGGGCTGGGGTCAAAATAAGGGGGTTGTAATTATATGGGGAATATAAAAATAAAACTTAAATCAAAAAACAAATAAATAAATAAATCTTAAAAAAAATAATTTACTTTTCTATAGCTTGGTTAATTTTTTTACTTTTGTGTTAATAGCTTACTCTACTCCCCCTCTTTATTCCACTTATAACAGGGACTGTCTTACTAATTGTGTACAGTAAGTTCCCACTGAAGGTTGTCTAAGTAAAATGGAGTATAACCAAAGTAGGTTTGTGAATAACATGGTTTTGCATAACACTGGTTGAGTTTGTATTTTTCTATTCAACTTGACAATAAAATGACACTGAATGAAAGGCTGCTACTCGAGGACCTGCTGTATATAGTAGGGGCAGCTATCCCATAATGACTAAAAGCATACCCACTTAGTGAGTTGTGGGAACTTAATTAACTCTTGAACCTCACCTATAAAAAAGCAATATAATACAAAAGCCATACGATTGTTGTAAAGAAATAATGAGATAATGTAGGCAAAATCTTCGGCTTATATTGGATGCGTAGAAAATACTCAATAAATGTTAATTATTGCTAGTAAATTTGTGTTGAAATTTAATATTAACTTCTAAAAGCCAATTTATCTAGCAAACTTGGCAATAGATATATAACTAAAACATATGGAAAATAATTTGGGGTTGTTACCCAGGATTTGAAGCCCATTTCTGTACAGTTTCTTCATCATCACCATCACACAAATCAGCAAAAGTAGCTTCTAAATCTTCTAATTGATGAGTCCGAGTATCAACACAATCTACCAAATCTTCCTTCAAAGACATTGAAAAGCTGAGATTACATTCTTTCAAAAAAACAAGTGAAATTCTCATTCTAACGAGGACATCCTAGTTTAAGTAGTTAAAAGGTTATTTTTACGTAGCAACAATGGACTTCCCAATAAACACACAAAGAGTTTGGACGGTCCTTTGGAGAATTCTATTATTAGATATGTAACAAAGAGATAAAACCCAAAAGAAACAAGTGGAGGATACCTCTGTCAGGTTGCCATCAGGTCTTTTAAATTGGTATAGCTCTTGTAGAATTTTGTACTCCTCCTGAAAAGCAGAAGCAAGCAAAACAAAGAATATCCTTTAATATCACATGATTGCGATACAAGAAGAACATCTCAGATAATCACTTAAATGTTAATGTGGGAGGTTCAGGCAAAATGCATAATTTAGACTTCACTGTAAATATTACCATTCTTCAGGGTAACTCTATCCATGTGGGCATAACAAGAATATATGTAAATTAGCTCTGGAAGGAGACTTGGTGGTATGGGTAATGGGATGAAAATGTTTCTAATAATATTACATTCTATATGGATATATTCTAGGACCTAAGCAGATGTTAGTTCTTTACAGGAAATAGACATAGCTTTACAAACAACAGCAAAACTCTCCGCATTCCCTTTGCAGACCCCTTCCTAGCAATAGAGGAGAATGCCAGAGTACAAATGCAACAGTGGAGGCAGAAAGACCTGAAAGAAGAATGCCATGACATCAACCTTACAGGAGAATGTCCCCCCCTCCCCCCCCCATTTAGCACTGCTAACTAGCCCCATTGTAGGCTGCTAAGGCTAGCACAATAATCCTCTTTGGGAGGATAGCATCAGAAAGAGGTCAGACACAAGAGCTAAAATACATTCAGCACAACGTTGTGGCATTAATCTCACTGTGGCAATACTGAGTTGGGCATGATTTTTTCCATTCCACACTTGAATAAAATGTAGGTTAAAAGACTATGTAACAGGGCCTCCCCGGTGGTGCAGCGGTTGAGCGCTGGGTTGCGAAGCTGCCCGCGGCCTCTGCAGCGCCGGTTCGATCCCCAGCTGCTCCCCAGCCACTGGAGGAGGGTCCCACATGGCGCGCAGACCTCTCCTACCGCTCGCTGCTCCCCTCAACAGTGTGCTTCGGTCCTTCTGCCTGCTCTGCTCCCCGCTCTGGCTCTGGTGAATTCGCTCACCCTCCCGCGCTTCTGACTGTACCCAGTGCTTGTATAAATAAATAAATCTTAAAAAAAAAAAAAATACGTAACATTTCCAAAATCATACAGCTGGTAAACAGAAGTAACAAACAGAATAATCTCTCTGACTTCTGAACATACGCTTACCAAAAGGCAAACAACTTTTTTCACTATATTAAAAAAAGCTATGAAATTATAAAGTACAGTACATGCCTTTTCAAAAAGTTCCACAGTATGAAGGATATAGAGAAATGCCCCACTTTCTTAGATTTCCTCATAGCACTTGAAAAGGAATAACAACATATGTTTCTTATGTAACCTTTTAGAAATCTTCCTTACAAATATTTAGGTCAGTATCTTGTAGAATAAATGCCTATAGTTAGCTCCTATAGTTTCCAGGTATAGCCACGACTCAAGTTTTCTAAATATTTCTGAAGTTGCTTCATACTTCCAAGGACTGGTGGTTAGATTACTAACTGCATACAGCAGTGTGAGAGGGAAATTTTCTCCCTAATTTGCAAGTCGGGAGAGGACACTTGAGTCCTCTTTTTTTGCTTCAGGGAAAATTTGACACACAGGGTAATGTACGTAGATTATCTCTGCAAAGATACACCAAGAAACCAGTATTACATCTGTTTCTTAGCTGAGAAACAGAGGGGATGGGAAGGGGACAAGAAAGTAATGTTTTGTAACGTATTTACTTCCTTGTACTATACGTCATTTTTGTCAGCCATCTCTGTATCCCATTAGTAAATGCAAAATAACAAACACTATCTAGAGTGGGGATCTGCAAACCATGCCCACAGTCTGTTTTTGTTGACTTGCCTTAAAAATGCTCTAAACAATTTTAAAGTATTTTTGAAAAACAATAATAAAGTAGAATGTGTGACAGAACCATATAGAGTCCTCAATAAAGTAACTACCTCTGGCTATTTGCAGAAAGTTTGCTGCTCCCTGATCTAGCGAAATGTATGTAAGTCTCAAGATCTATGTTTTAAAAATAGCATATTTGGGGGCCTCCTGGTGGTGTAAGGGGTTAAGCGTCAGCACTATGAATCAGTCCACAACTTGGCCAGGGAACTACCCACATGGCACAGCAGACCTCTCCTGTCTTGCCTGCTGCTCCCCTCAGCAGTATAGTCCATGGATCTGCCTATTCTGCTCCCCACTCTGTCTCTGGTGAATCCTCTTACCCCCCACACCTCTAGCCTATACCCCAGCTCTTGTGCGCATAAATAAATAAATCTTAAAAAAAAAATAGCATATTTACCTGAGTGAACATTTCTTTGAAAGGATTCTTCACTGAAAAAAAATCTAAGTCAATATCTAAAACAAATGCATCCCCGTTCTTCAAAATTTCCAGAATTTCCCCAGTCTGTCCTTCCTGGCCTTCAGGAGAACATGAACATGATGGTTCCAGGCAAGTTTGTTCCTTTCTCTGTGCCACTGTGTCCTTTTCCAGTCCTTCTGCATAAGGATCACAGTTAGCAGAGGCAGTGTTTTCTGCATCTTCCAGGGCTAGCTTTGGCTTCTTAGCAGAAGACGCTGCATCATTTTCTTCTTGACTGTTACACAGTTTATAAGGTTTTACCATAATTACATCCAGTTGTAAAGGTCTTTGGTTCTCTAGTTGTTCTTCAGTTACATAAAGACCATCACTTAGGAAGTAGTGATCTGTACTTGTAACCCTGGATCAGAGGAAAAACTATTTTAAAGAAGAATGGACAAATTAGCTGACAATTGATAGAGCATTTCCACAGCACTGCAAAAATATAAAAAAGGTATATTTGGAAAAAATTGGGAGCGGTCTCTAATATTTGTATTTTCTGTTCTATGGCAGCAAGAACATTGCCTCAATTTTCATCTGGGTACACCGGGACATTTCATCATCTACCTTGTAGCTAGGTATGCAGTCTGCTTGTGCAAATGGCCATTTATCTAAGTTCTGGCCAAAAGCTGTAAATGGAAAAGAAGACTATAGAGCCTTGCCCTCCCCTCTACTGAAGGACACAGAAAGAGCAAGTCCACCTTGGACTAGAGGACAAAGGCAATGCTCCAAAGATGGTGGAGTAAAAAGAAGGAACTAGGGTTCACCAATATGTAGATCTGTGACATGGGCCCTGACTACGTGAGTGAGCTCTAACTCAACAAAGAAATAAATGATCCTGCTTCAGCCAGTACTTTGGCTCTTGCATAGCAGCTAAAACTTGACCCAAAATTCACTAAGGCAAACATTACATCTAAAATGAACTTCTTTCAATAAAATCCCCACCAAATTATTTTTAATGTGAAAAACAACTTAAGAAGATCCTGTGTACTTGTAGAATGCATTTCTGAAGATGCAGATTTCTGATTTTAGAACTATCAGTATCTTCTCAGCTTTTCAACTATATTATGCCTTGGTAAGTATTTTAAGCAATGAAATGAAATAGTTCTTCCACAGACAGGCTCTATTCAACTAAAATAATGGTTAGTATTTATTGCCCATCTATCCTCTTCCAGCATATACAACTTTAAATTAAAAAAGGTAAAATTCCCCCCCAAATATTAGTGTTATAATGTCCAAACTTATTAAAAACTGTACTATTCTAAGAAGGATAAAAGCTGTATCCTCAATCTAAATTTATTTTTATTTAATAATGGTCACTTTCTTTGTTACTAGTTATACAAATTTACACACACAGCTCAGACTGCATGTTCATGTGCATATATCTTTGCAATTCTTACTTGCAACATTAACTAAAAAGATGAAATAAAACTTTTCCTAATACCATTACCATACATTGAGTCTCAAATTGTCTGCTTCAAATTGTTCAAAATTAACTGCTTTGCAGAAACCTGTTGCAGGTTAAATTAGGCCTACTTATTTAAGCACTTAATAAAATCCCCACCATTCTTTCATATATACCAGTATTATGACTAACATTATATGTGAAGTGTTATTTAGTATTGTATGCTAAGTAGATGCAATATTCAGGTATATACAACAAAGTTATTTGTGCAATTGATTATAATATTCAGTAGTTAATTGTATCATTAAGGTAAATCAGAAATTAAAAAGTATCATTTTCAATAAGAAAGACTAATTCATTTCTAAGTGTTACTGTTTCATCACAGTATCCTTCAAGGTTTTACAAAGTCATGGATCAGTTGCTTAAAATATTCACCCCATCACAGGAGAATTTAGAAAGTCAGGAGCATACTGATATTTCTAAAGATGTTAAAGCCTGACAGATATACAAAACTTTGGTTAAACAGCTCATGCAACAAAAGCAGTTACACATGTAACTCAAGTCAGAGGATGCTGCAATTTGCTAGATTAAGTAATTACCTAGAGCTAATCAAAATAAAAAAATCAAAACCCCAAATCTATTTACTCAGTTATTGCATTTACAAAAAAACACAAAGTAAGATAATTTTTCTTTCATGGCCAGTTGTCAAATTCAGCAGTCAGCAGTTACATTGGAAGGCAGTAGTAAAATGTATCGTTGAATACACTAACTCATAAGGTACTTCAAAGATTAAGAGTTAATTATCAAAGGAGGTGGAATTCCAAAGGATGAATATCATGTTATTCAAAAACCAACTTGACTAGAAATAATAAATAGTATGTGAAGAAGGTAAAGAGACTTGAAATCCTGTTCCTTGTCTTTTGACAATTCTTTCTGGAAGAGTTGAATTTAGGCTGAATTTGACCCCATTTGTTTGTATAGACACTTAAAAGTTATTACAGGGACCCAAAAATAGCATTCATAGCCTTTCATAGTCATAAAGAAAGAAGCATTCATAGCCTTTCATAGTCATAAAGATGAGGAAAATACCTGATTGTTGTAGTGGAAGTATCCTTCCCTACTAGAAAGTGATGTTTGCCCTCTCTGATTTGCTGAGCCCATGGAGGATGAAGCCATATTACATGAGAAAAATGGCCAGCGTAAACTGCAGGCATAATCCAATTCTCAATACTTAATTCTCTGGAAAAGAAATATAGAGAAAGCATTAAGACTATTAGTGTTGTTCCCCAATCACCCCCCCCCCCAATGTATGGTTTCATCCATGATATTTTAAGATGGCAGATCTCAAAGTATGGTTCAAGGACCCCTTGGGGAGGAGGGTTGCTAATACCTTTTCAGGGTAATCACTAGTTCAAAACGATTTTCCTAAAATTATTTCCCTTTTTAATTTTCTAGTACACTGACATTTGTACTAATGGGGCAAAGCAATGATGGGTTGATGTGGTAAGGTTCATCAAGGCAGTGTCACTGACTCCATTAGTAATCATTATATTCTTCAATACCAACCAGTGTAGAAAAGGAAAAAAAAAGAATAGTCACAATGATCTGGAAAGGCTATGAAATTCTCCTGTATTTTTCATAAACATCAAACAACATGGGACAGCACTGAACACAAAGGCAGATATGAGAATCTAGCTATCTTTAATACAGGCAAATAGTAGAGATCTGCAAACACATAAACAGCATTACTCTCCACTAAAATATTTTTGTTCTGGAAAGTAATAATTTTTCATTATGCTAACATATATAGGTCAACTGTTATCTGAGATGAATTATTACTTAAAAAATTTCTCAATTTTGGGCCTCCCTGGTGGCACAGGGGTTATAGACTCAGTGCTATCAAGCTATCGCCAGCCACTGTGGCCTGAGTTCCATCCCCAAGCCAGGGAGGTGACCCACATGGCACAGCAGACCTCTCCTGTCTCGCTTGGCTGCTCCCCTCAGCAGTGTATTTCAGTAGATCTGCCTGTTCTGCTCCCTACTTTGTCTCTGGTGAATCCTCTCAAACGCACGCCCCCATGTTTGGCCTACACCCCAGCTCTTGTATGCGTATATAAAATAAATCTTTAAAAAAAAAAAAAGAAAGAAAAAACAATGGTAGAGTCACCATAATTCTTTAGAAATTAGTGCTCTGAATTGGAGTTTTGGAGAAAGTCTACTAAATAAAAGGTAGTAGGCTAAAATTAATTCACACACTACCTGTTTTTTAATTTAATTATAAGAGGAAAGTTACAGCTATGTAAGTTTTTATATTGTATGAGTCCAGCAATTTTATACAGAGACTGATAGAATTTTAGGGAATTTTGTTATTGAAGAGAGACTAATCTAGGACATTATTTGAGATACTTTAGGTCTGATCCTTCTTGAAGAACAGAACCCAAATTATTTCACTTCCATCTCTATGATTTTATATAACTGAAAATCTTCAGAATCTATCATCTGAGAATAAACAGAGAGGTTGGAAGAAGTCATTAAGGGTAGGAAGGATAGACAAACTAAAGCCCTACTGTGTACACAGTATTGTGCTGTCCTTAGATAAGACACTTTCTTGTGCCTCAGCATCCAGACTTTTAAGGAGAGGAAGAATAAAGTTTTCTTGAAACTCAGCCTCAGACATTTGTTTATACAGCTTCTATTGTTGCTCTCACACTGCTAGGCAGAGAATGATTACAACAGGGACCATAAGACTAGCAAAGCTATATACTATTTACTATCTGGCTCTTTAAGACAAAAATTGTCAACACTTGATCTAACCAAAAAAGTCAAACAACATGAAACTAAAACAAAACTCAAGAGCTTAGCAAAGTCTAGTTCTCTTAACTGCTTATATTTTGCAAATTTTTTTAAGCACATGAAAGATCATTGATGAAATCATGTATTACCCAAAAAGTGTTTCCTTATCAAACACCGTGTCAGCTGGCATATTCACAGGAATAAGGAGGTCTGGGTGTGAATCAAAATGCATGAAATTTATATTATTGTCAGGAAGATGCCTTGAGCCAATGGCCCTGTATATAAAAGGCAGAACCTGTAAAAGACACAAACAATCAGAAACTGGCAATGAAATCATGAACATGTACTTAAATGCAGACTGAAAACAATGATAGTATAACTGTAAACAACTGGAAGCACATCAAGTTGTTAAAAAGAAGGAAAATATATAATGGGCTTATTAAAAAGATGGTTGAGATGGTTATTTCTAACTTTTTTCTTCCCTCAGAACTTCCAACCTGCACCTTCAAAGGCTTTAATTGGCATGCCTAGCTGCAACACCCCTTCATCTCAAATTCAACAGGTAATGGAAGAAAACAGACAGGGACTAGAGCTCAAAAACAAACTGCTAGTAAATGCACATTAAGGCGATATGTGTTCAAGCTGTTGGTCACCTTGGGGGGTCTTTTTCATACCTCAAGGAAGGGGGGCTTTTTGTGTTATCGTCTCCATAGTTCGAGTTTTCAGATTGAAATGGCTTGCCCTTTTTCAGCACCATAGCTACTATGTCTAGATCCTGGATCCTGTCTAGATCCACCCAACTTGTCCTAACTTCCTCCATCTATAAATTCAGAAACACCCTCTTCCCCCTCCATATCCAGAAAACTTAAGGTTATTAATCCAACTTAAAAAAAAAAAGTGCTTTAGATCCACGTGCCTCCCTTCCAGAAGTATAACTGAAGGCACGACTTTAGCTACCCTACAGTAAAATTGCCACAAAACTAGAAAACACCCTTAATGTTTATAAACGCAAGCAATAATAACCCCAACGGACCTATGCATGCTTTGGCACTTTCCACATCGCAGATGACAGCCCAACTCAGCACGAAGCCTCCCACTTGCTCCACGCTGGAGACGGCCCAGGTGGAGGCAGAGGACCCTAGCCTCAGAGGCGGGCTGCCGGGTTCGAATCCCGACGCCACCAGTAGGATGTGCGGCAACTCGGGAAGGCTAGACGAGATGCTCGGAGCTAGTAAACACCCCACAATCGCTCGTGCCTAATAAACACCCCACAATCGCCCGTGCCCGGTAAACACCCCACAATCGCCCGCGCCTATTCTCCCGAGGTGTCGCCGTGGGGTCCCCCTAAGTCAGCGGAATTCGCGTGGGGAACCCGGTCTGTGACTTCCCCGGCCGCTGTGCCGCGGCTCCGCCGCTCGCTCACCTCCTGGTGGTCCTCCACCACCCACACCGGGAGCTCGGGGTAGCGCCGGAGGCCGGCGCGCTCTCGGCAGGGGTCGCCCATGTTGCCGCGGCCGGCGGCGTCGCGGGGCCAGGACCCGGCAGGCCCGAGCGGCGTCCCCCGCGGCCCTTGCCGACTGGAAACACACACTCACCCGGTTGCGGTTCCGGATTGGCGGGTGCAGAGGGCAGGGGGCGGGCGCCTCGGGAGCTCACAATAGCTATTGGCTGAAGTGTCCATCGCTCTTGGGGACGCACCAATCACCGCGCCCGAAGCCCAGCGACGCGCCCGGGCGCTTTCCCCCGGTGGTCCCGCTTTCCTGGCTTGGCTGTTTAAGTCCCCGGGTTTCCTGTTCCGGAGGCGCGGGCGGCGCGCGGGTCCCGGGGGCCGCGGTGTGAGGCTGGCTTTGCGGTGATGGCGACCTCGCGGCCCCGGAGCCTTTCATAGGTAAAAGGGGCCTCCTGCGTGTGTTGGAAGAGGGAGAGTTTCCGCGGCCGGAATCCGTGGCTGGAGTCCCGGGCTGGGGCGAGAGGCGCCTGCAGTGGGGGGCGGGCTGCCCCTCCTCGGGTCTGCAACTGGGGGCGAAATAGGTGATTCCAGGCCCCGATCTCGCAAATAAATAGAAGTGAAAAATGGAACCTTTCATTCATTTGTGGAGCGCTCGCGATGGTGCAGGCCTGCGGCCGCTCGGGTCCTGCAGGGAGCTGGACCGTGAGCCCAGAGGCTGCCTCGTGGGGGCCACTGTCTGGCGGGAGATGCAAACTGGGGAACACCCAATTGTGGGTCGGCCGGAAGACGGCGATCGGCCTGCAGAGTCCACGGGGAAATAGGGGAGTTATTTATAAAAGTGTAGGCACATTTTGCAACTCTTCCTATACCTACTGATGTTCCTGGGCATGTTCACTATTCACTCAGCTCCCTTAGTTTGTTTCCTAACACACAGTTTGCTTCTCATTAAATGTTGCATGATTTAGTGAAAAGATCGGCTTTTTGTCTGGTTTTGATAATGCATATGTGTTGCGGATAGATGGGGAAGGGAAATGAACAGCAGGAGCATGGAAACATGTGCCATTGGTGAGACAGTAAATATTTGTTGACGATGTACTGTGTGCAGGATGCCGTGCCAGGGGCTGTGAAGGATACAAACATGACTGAATCAACCCATGACATCAAAGCGCTATAATCTAGTGGAGGAGTTAGACATGTACACGCATGACTATAACATGAGGCAGTCACTGGTAAGTGCCACAAAATAAGTAAAGATTAAGAGCAATGGAAGTTAGAGGAAATGGGATTACTTCTTTTTACTTTTTTCTATTTTAAAAGGACAGGTTTACTAGGAGAAGGAAAGGAGAAGACATTTGCACAGATGCAAGTAGGCAGGAAGAGCTGGGATTACTTCTTAAAGCAAGGGGGGGAGAACTTCATAGAGGAGGTGGCATTTGACTGGTAGATGGTTAGAAATTCAGTGGACAGAGTCACAGGATAGAGAGTTTTAGATGAAGTAGAGCTGAGTGAGAGTGGTTGGTGTTTTAGGCAATTGGGAGAAATCTGGAATGATTGGTGTTTCATGGGGAAGGATAATAGAAGATAAGTCTGGAAGAAGTTGGGTCCAGATTGGAGAGGGCCATAAGTGCCAAGCATGGAGTTTGAATTCATGTCTTTTGACAGTCAGTAGTCTGTGGTGGCAGGATCAACTGCCTAGGCCCTAGGTTTATCATGAGGGTGTTGGACTGATCTGTAGTGGTTAATCAGATATTATTTGGTGCCTACTATCTACTAACCACAATGATAGGTGTAGGTAAATCTGAGTTTATCTTCATGAGCCATATGAATTAAGCTTATTGGTAAAACTTTTAGGTAGACTTTAGAAAGATACTTGTATGTTGAAGCTTTTTGTACTTAATATGTGTTTGAACTTTTTAAAAGATCATTTTGTTCAAGAATGTAGAAAGTAACTCATGTCCACAACATTTTTCTGTAGAAACGGTGGAGAATATAAATCAAGAGCAGAACGGTGACTCCTGTTTTTTTTTTTTTTTTTTTTTTTTTTTAAAGATTTCTATATTTTATGTATATAGGAACTGGGGTAGCCAGAGGAGGGGGGTTGGTGTGAGGATTCACCAGAGACAGATCAGGGAACAGAACAGACAGTGAAATACACTGCTGAGGGGAGCAGCAGGAGAGACAGGAGAGGTCTGTTGCACCATGTAGGTGTCTGCCTGGCAGCCAGGGATCTAACTTGTGCTGCAGAGGCTGCTTCACATTGCTGTGCTTAATCCCTTGCGCCACCAGGGAGGCCTGTGACTCCTGTTTTTGAGAGATAATTGTGTGTGAGTTTGAATGCTGGTCTCACTGTGAAGGAAACTGGAGTATGGAGGAGGGGAGAAGCAAATTAGAGATGGAATATGCCTAAGTTTCTAGTCTTTTTTCTTTTTTTAATGATTTATTTATTTATTTATGCATGCAAGAAGTGAGGTTTAGGCCAGAAGTGTGGGGGATGAGAGGATTCATCTGAGACAGAGTGAGGAGCAGAACACGTAGATCTACTGAAATACACTGCTGAGGGGAGCAGTTGTGACACAGGAAGGTCTGCTGTGCTATGTGGGTTAGCTCCCTTGCTGGGGATCGAAGTCATGATGAAGTGGCAGTGGCAGTAGCTGGCTATAGCTTGATAGTGCTGAGACTTTAACCCCTGCACCACTAGGGAGGTCCCAATTTCCAGTCTTTTTTAGCTACTTACTGTTTCGTGTCAGCCAGACAGGTCACTAAAGTTTAGTTATAAATTTTAATTCAGCTCTTGTTAGAATGCTAAAATGCAACAGAGAATGCAAGATCAGTGGTAAGGAGATTACAGAAATATTTTAGAGCACTGGCAGTTTGGGAAATCTGTTTATGTCTGTTTTGTTATTTCTGTCCTCTAGAGCTTATATCCTCTGCGGAAGATGTGACCTACCCAGGCAGTACATCATGATGCAAAGCAATACCTGGTAAGTGGTGTGATAGTAATGGCAGTAGTTTGGGAGAACAGAGAAGAGCAGTGACTGGTGCTAGGTCACGGAGGGTGGCGAGGATTTAGAGAGGAGAGGGGCTATATACTCTTGTGGGCCATGTGCCTAACTGGGAACCCAGACCAGAACAGTTAATGAACTTTCCCTATCCTGATGGGTCTTGGGGTTTGAAGGTGCAGGCAGACGTTAAAGGTGGAATGGGTGATTCATTGGTGATTATAATTATGGTAGGACATGCCAGGAAGAATCACAGAGTGTTGCCATCACAGGGGATGTTGTCAGATAATACCCTGGTGTCTGGAGAACCAATGAGTGGTATCATCAATCGAGGTTGGAAATGATGAAAAAAGGAGCAGGTTGTATCCTGGAGGGCAGATCATGAACTCCTCGCTGGGTGGGTCATGTTGCATGTGTGGTCTGCTGAGTGGGGAGCAAGGTGAACACAGGAAGAAACTGGTGCAGATGTAGAAAACGTGGGGGTTAGCGATGGGATGGCATGGTGATGTCAGGAGTAGGGAGAACTTGAGCAAGGGTCTGATAGCAAATGCTTGAACCCTGGGGAGTTGGATTCGTCATGTTGGAGGTGGAGCAGCTTAGGGATTGACAGAGTCCAGGCACTGGCCATGACAGTGGTGAGTGGCCAAGATGGGAATAGGAGCTTGTTGGCCATGAGGAGTTTCAGATATTACAGTGAACTCTGTAGTAGGTGGGTAGAGTATTCCAGCAACCTAATTGGCCTGTCAGTCGCTCCTGGAGGGGTTGGGCATTTGTGAAACTTGTTTACATAGTGAATTTTTCCCTGCACTTTTCTCCCTTTCTTTCCTCTCATGCAGTCATAGAATGACGTTTCACCCAGGACGAGGTTGTCCCCGAGGGCGAGGAGGACACGGAGCCAGACCCACAGCACCAGCTTTCAGGCCCCAAAATCTGAGACTGCTTCACCCTCAGCAGCCACCTGTGCAATATCAATATGAACCTCCAAGTGCTCCTTCCACCACCTTCTCGAACTCTCCAGCCCCCAATTTTATGCCTCCTCGACCAGACTTTGTACCCTTCCCTCCACCCATGCCTCCCTCAGCACAAGGCCCTCTTCCGCCCTGCCCAATCAGGCCCCCTTTCCCCAACCACCAGATGAGGCCGCCCTTCCCGGTGCCACCCTGCTTCCCTCCCATGCCTCCGCCCATGCCCTGTCCTAATAACCCCCCAGTCCCCGGAGCACCCCCAGGACAAGGCACTTTCCCCTTCATGATGCCCCCTCCTTCCATGCCCCACCCCCCACCTCCTCCCGTCATGCCACAGCAAGTTAATTATCAATACCCTCCGGGATACTCGCACCACAATTTCCCACCTCCTAATTTTAATAGTTTCCAGAACAACCCCAGCTCCTTCCCGCCCAGTGCTAACAACAGCAGTAGTCCTCATTTTAGGCATCTCCCGCCATACCCACTCCCAAAGGCGCCCAGTGAGAGAAGATCCCCGGAAAGACTCAAGCATTACGATGATCACAGGCACCGGGACCACAGTCATGGGCGAGGCGAGAGGCACCGGTCCCTGGATCGGAGGGAACGAGGCCGCAGCCCTGACCGGAGGAGACCCGACAGCCGCTACCGATCGGATTATGACCGGGCGAGAACGCCCTCGCGGCACCGCAGCTATGAGCGCAGCAGGTAATGCGCGCCGAGGCCCACTCAGGCAGGCTCGCCCCCTTCTCCCGCGAGCCAAACCAGCAAGCCACGGCAGTGCCATGCAGAGTTACAGAAGGAAGACGGGTTGGGGCAGCGCGGAAGAGAAGGCCTCCGTGTAGATCGGTCTCAGTGAACACAAGCCTGTTACTCTGCACAGCACAGTTGTTTTAATGTTGATGCTGACACAGCAAAGGTCTTGTGTTGTTTCTTGCACTGCCAGCTTTGACTGTGTTCAGTGGGATCATAACTGGTTATGGCACTAGAGTTCTTTCAGAGTGGAGGATCTGCATATGCTATCAGTTAGGAATCAAACTGCATTGCAGTCAGACTGCTTTCTCAGTTTTAGGATAAGTGGAAATTTAATAGACAAATTTGCATTCTGGCCTATTTTTTGTAAAATGAAATATTGACACATCATCAAAGTTAGTGTTTGAAATAGTTTTTAACCGTTGTTGTATTGAAACACATTCCTATTGAAATCAAATTTGTCTATGAAAAAGATGCTATTCCATTCCAAATTACTTTTTTTTTTCCATAGACCAAGTCTCTTTATACATCAAAGAATAAGGTTTCTAGTAGGCCTTCTTAAACTGGGGTTTGGAATTCTATAAAGCTTCTGAAGTTGTATGTAAACTTTTATGTGTGTTTGTTTATATGTATTTAAATTGGTAGCTGACAGCATATTCTCCAAAGGTGGCCTGAGTCTTTTACCCCAAAGTCTAAGAACTGTCAGTGTAGGTTTAAAAAAAAGAAAGATACACAGACAATAATTGTACTAATATTTATTTATAACTTCAGTGAACTCTTGATATTGAAGTTTGGAGGTTTTCCAGTTGTCAGCTTCGTTCTTCCCTTTCTGCTCCTTGTGTGTGTTTTCCTTCATTGTGTTGTGTCCTTCTGTGCTAAGAATGCTGTCCTCACCAAACCAGGGTTTGTGGAGAGCCAGTCTTGGCTCATGTAGACTCAGTTCATGTCATGGTTTCTTTGTTTTTCTCAGACTGTGATTTTGATTTCTGATTGACCATTCGGCCAATAAATGGTAGTGGTTACTCTGAGCCTTGAAAAGAGTGATTCATGCCGGAAGTCTGGTGCCCTGTAGACAGGAACTTGTGTTCTGCAGAGATGACTGATTGCTGGTGGCTCAGATGACTGAGAGTTGATAGACTCTCTCAAAATCTTTTTCAGCCTGAGTTACTGTGTCTGGTCAGTTTTGTTAGAAGTCATTTTGTGATGAATTAGTTGTCAGGAGCCTGTGATATGTGAGTCTATTTCACAATTTAATGGGGAAAATCTAAACTGGAAAGTTTGTTAAAAGCTTTCTCCAGATTTGAAAGGGATTGTTAGCATCGCTCTCTCTGTGGTTCCCCAGAGCAGCCTTGGTGTTTCATGATATCAAATACATAGATCCACTTTTTCATGACCTTTTTCTAGAAATCATTTGCCCTAAAACAACCCTGTACAATTATTACTCAATCACATTTTGGAGGAGAAAAAGAAGGAAGATAGACTTCGTAAAAGGAAAGATTCACTTACCCCAAGAAGCCGGCGGAGATGACTGATTGCTGGTGGCTCAGATGACTGAGAATTGGTAGATGCTCTAAAAATCTTTTTCAGCATGCATTACTGTTTCATTAAACAGCAAATTGTTTCAATTTGCCGCAAATTTCATTGCAGGTAGCATTTCTTTTTTCTGTTTTGTGGTGCCATAATCAGAGGAGTTTTAGGGCTCTATAAAATCCTAAATTCTTTCATCCAGGCTTAAACTTGGAGTTTTGTGTTTTGGGGAGGAGAAATTAAAATGTCCTTTAAACTGAGGATCAGTTTACACCATCAGAAGTAAAATCAAGTACCAAAAACACTACCTTTAATTTCCATTATGCTAACCCATAGCTCTTTAACTGTGAAGGAGCTATTTATGCATCCAGCCCATCTTTCCAAATGGCCTTTATATTAGAGTTGTTTTATAATGTTGTGCTTCAGGTTTTTGTCCCTGGAGCTGCCTTAGTGGCACAGCTCCTTTATAATTGGCTCCCTCGGGTCATAGGTAGAGCATCTGTCAGTCACCTGTCTTATAGGGTATGCTTCTGTGACATAAACATGGGGCACATCAAGTCCTCAAATAACTCCTAGAGTATTTTGGAAAAGCCAAAACCTCATGCATTTGTGCTGGGGTTGTTAAGTTTATGCAAATTTCAGTAGTCTATCCTCTGACTACTTCTCCCCTGGCTTTTTGGAGTAAGTGAATCTTTCCTTTTACAAATTCTACCTTCTTTTTCTCCTCCAAAATGTGATTGAGTAATAATTACAGGGTTGTTTTAGGGCAAATGATTTCTAGAAAAGGTTTATGAAAAAGTGGATGTTTGTATTTGTTATCATAAAACACCAAGGTTGCTCTGGGGAAGGGGCAAAGAAGTGCAGTGCACTGAGCATGCTGATTTCCTGTGTGGTAACTTACTAGTGGTGTGGTAAAGAATGGCTGATGTTATTTGCACAGAAATTTCCACAGCATCCTGTCACCAGTACAAAGAGTAGCTACCAGAGAGCTAGCATTATCAAGGAGTATTTTGGTGCTGGCAAATAAGGAATTGTCTTTGGAAAAGGAACTCAAACATTGGCTTTTCTTGTTTTCAGTGGTTTCTAATGTGATTTATATCCAAATTGATCTTTCCAATTCATTCCCACTCAGAGGTAGCAATCATTATCAGAAGTCCTGCTCTTCGATGTAAAATTCTAGACCTTAAAAAACAAATAGAAATTAGAAATGTCTTTTAACTTGAGTTTTTATTTAGAAATACAGGCAATTATTCTTTTAGCAACTATAGATTACATTACTGATTGTATCACATCTTTGACATGTGGCACCACTTTCTAGTTTCTATAATTTTTGGATTTACTGCTAAAAGTAATCTGTGATTTTAGAAGTGTATCAGATGAAAAATGCAGAATCCTAAGCTCTGACTTTTTTATTCTGGATGACTGATGTGATAACCGAGGTATGTATATGTCAGAAGTATCACGGGAGTCTTTCTTAAGAAGGGTGATCTTTAAGTGAAAAAGCAATTTTTGTTTTAATATCAAAGATCAGTCATTGATCTCAATCAGTTTTGTAAGTTTTGCTTTAGTGTGTTGACATTTCCTCTGCTTTGCAGGGGCTTGGAGATATATTTGAGTTCATACATCTTTATAGTCTGCTTGTTGAGTGTACAGCATTTTTATAGCTTTATTCAGCAAGAATCCGGCTTTTTTTTTTACCCTGTTCTAAGATTGGATGGTTATTTCTCTCAGATTTAATTCCATAAGAAACACACTGGAGTTTCAGTTATTGTTCACAGATTTTTGTTGTACTTATTATAGAAATTGTACATTCCAGTCTTACATTGGAAGGTTATTTAAAATCCTCATTATGTTTTACATTGGGTGAGCTCAGTTTTTTTTACAGTTTTTTCCAGGTGAAAACCGCATTTCAAGGTACAGTGACTTACAGTCTCATGATGTCAGTGATAACCAGAACTCTGTCTCAGGCCTATAACCCGAAAGACTTTAGAGCTCTTTCATTATAGAACCTTGTTCTAATTTTTATATAAAAGGTATAATTTACATTATTTGATGATTGAAATTGAGTTTCCTAGAAATCAATAGGTGGTAGAATCCTTAGTTTTCCCTGTAGGTTAACTAACCAAGGATTGGCTGTTTGGAAGGGCTTGCGAGAGACTGAAAATAAAATTCCCTGTTGCTTTGCATCAAGAACGACTTCTTTCCTTAAAGAAAATGGCAGAATGTACAAGTTAATTAACTTCTGTAAAGTGAAAAGCTCCTTTATCCTCTAATAAATGAAGGCTAAATAAAAATGTCCCATAGAGAATACTGAAAAATTCTTAGATAAGATCCATTATTTAGAAGATGAATTCAGTGAAAAGAGATGGTGTTTTTGAGTCTTTCTGTTGAAAACAGCTCTGTGTATTAATTCCTTTAAGAGAGCGGGAACGGGAGAGACACAGGCACCGGGACAGCCGAAGATCACCATCTCTGGAAAGGTCCTACAAAAAAGAGTATAAGAGATCTGGAAGGTAAGCAAGGAGTTGACATTGAAAGAAGTCATAGAATTATCTCCTCAAATTCAGATTTTGTGCTTGTGCAAAGTATCAGCCAAGTTTTCAGAATAGCCCGAGTCTGTCCAGAATGCCCTGTGAAAAGCTAAAGCAGCCAGTAACATTAAAACCTTTATTTTTAAGATGTGTTGATTACACATAAGGAAAATTTTGATTAATTTCCCCAAATTAGAAATTATATGGGCCTCAGTTTGTATAGAACTATACATTAATAACTTAAGCTTTTAAAAACTTGGAAATTCACTATTACGTACTTATATTGCTTCAGAGAAAGCAGAACTGCAGTCATAGTTTATTTAGAAAAATAACATAGGGACTGTGATAAACCAAATTGGATATAACCAATTGGATAGCAAAGAAGATATTGACGTTGTCTAATGATAATTAGAATAGCACTCTGAAGTCTGACAGATTTGGGGTGAGTTATTAATTCTCCCAACTTTGTTATTAGGCAGAGTTCCTTGACCTTTTTAAACCTGAATATTTTTGTCTAAAATAAGCACAGTTTTATTGGCCTTATTGAATAGTGAGGAATTACTGAAATAATACGTATAAAACATTTAGGACTGAGCCCAAAGTTAGTACCAAATAAGTGGTCACTATATATAATTTTTTATTTGATTACTTGGCTCTAAAAATTAGTAGAGTATAAGAGCAGAGAAAGGAATTAAAAGGCAAAAGAAATTAATGAAATTAAAAACAGCTTTAGCAGTATAACAACAACTCTAAATGGGAGATCTTTTTGAAGTTCATACAATTCAAAAAGTGGCAAATTGAGAAAAGAAAAACATTCCATTATGTATAAGAAAGGCTGTAGGAGATTTAAAAATTATGATATGTTGGTGTAAGTGTAGACATTTTATTAAAAAAAATTAAAAACTTGAATGTGATGTGATTTCTAATTGTTTCCTTCTCTGATTTCTAGAAAAGCAAAAATTTATGTCACACAAAATGAAAATTTTAATAGGCCAATAACCATGGAAAAAAATTCAAAAAGTTAAATTTGTACTACTGCCAAAAAAGTTTTAAACTGTTTCAGAACACTGAAGTAGAGGGAAGGAAAGTTCAGCTCATCCTGTGGTGCCAGGAAAATCCAGATGGTAAAACCTAACCAACAAAAAGAAAGCTACCAAACAGTCTCTTTTATGAATGTGGACAAAGAAACTCTAGATAGTATATTAGCAAGTTGTTTGAGAGTTTATTCCAAGATTGCACGGGTAATGTTAGGTTAATATTAGGAACTCTGTAACCATCATTCTTTGTGTCAGGTCTACAGATTGTCTTAGTTCCTGCCTATTAGATATTTAAAATGAAGCCAACATCCACTTAGTATGAATGTTGGTAAACTAGGAAGATGAGCAGACTTCTTTAAGAAGATGGAGAACTTGATGTTAAAGGAACCAAATTTAATGTTGAAAACTTACAGACTTTCCCATACAAGTCAGAAAAGAGGCAAGGAGGCCCCTGTTACCTAACACTGTTTAACTGCATCATGAAGAAATGAAAACCATTGCTGTCAGTGTATCCCAGGTATTGTGCTGGTGTGAGTGATAGAGTCATTACGGGATCACTAGTTTACAGGAATAAGAAAGTAAAGTGCTGTGAGAAGTATTTTTGATAGAGCAATTACATGTTGCTCTGGGAACAATGAAAAGCTCAGTCTCAGGTAGTTAGGAAGAAATGGACATTCTGCTGACACCTGAAGTTTGTGGGGGCTGCTATTAGGAGTGGGGGTGGCTGGGGATGATTGAGGGGCACGATGAAAGTTGCAGTGTGAAGAAATGTTCTGAGCTGGAAGCTGGGAAGTGAATTTAGAAATCCATTAAATCCACTTTTCTAGTAATCCACTAACAAAATGATTGTGCTTAGACCAGGGCAGTGACAGTGGAAGTGGGGAGAGGTAGACTTAAGATATTTATGACATAAAGTCCACAGGACTTGATAACCAATCAGATGTCTTAGGGGTGAGGGAAAAAGACTCAAGAGTCAACATCTGAGATGTCGTGTTCCCCACTGAGGAGGGAGGTCGCTGAGAAAGAGGCAAAAGAACGAGTTTCTCATGCTTGTGCAGTTTGAAAATCTGTGAGAAAATGAGATGAAATTGGGGCTTCCCTGGTGGCACAGTGCATTGAGCGCAGCGCTATGAAGCTGTCCGCAGCCTCTGCAGCGCCAGTTTGATTCCCGGTCGGCCAGGGAGATACCCACATGGCGCAGCAGACCTCTCCTGTCTCTCCTGCTGCTCCCCTCAGCAGTGTCTTCGTCTGTCTGCCTGTTCTGCTCCCTGCTCTCTGGAGAATCCTCTCACCCTCCCACTCCTCTGGCCTGTACCCCAGTTCTTGTATAAAAATAAATAAATCTTTAAAAAAAAAAAAAACGAAAATGAGATGAAATTGGATATATAATTAATTGTAATATGGATGTACAGCTCAGAAAAGGAGATCCCTGCAGAAAATGCTAAGTGGCTTGGATTAGGTTAGATTAACTAGGAAGTTTGTTCTGTGAGAAAGTGCCTGAGAGGAGGAGGAGAAGGAGAAGATTCTCCAGGAGAAGAACCAAGATATTTATATTGATGGAAGTTCCTGTGGACACTATGGGTTTGATGATTTTTAATGTAATGTACTAGAAATCACTTCAGTTTAGTGGTTTCATCTCCAGTGTTCAGTACCTTGTGGACAAAGCAGACTTGGATCAGCAAATGCAGAAAATAAAAATTACAGCTGTGAAGACTATAATGGAGGAAAACTGAACTAGTTTCAAGAAACAAAATATAATATACTAACGAACTGGTTTCTTTCAGATTTTGAAAGAAACACTTTTGAATTTGGATTTGAATTTCAGGATACCTGAGATACTTACCTAAAAAGATGTTCTCCTGATTTGAGATGCCCCTCTCAAAAAGTGTTAAAACAAATTACTGATCGATGTTAACAACACAACACCCCGATCATCTCTTCAGAACACCTGCCTAAATGGGTAGGATGAGGATATCTTTGCCCATGTTTCTTGGTGGGATTTTTAGAATATGTCAAACTGTCTGTGTCAAACAACCCTGTTAGCATTTTAGCTACCACTTACTAGCTTTGTGATATTGGGCAAGTGATGTGATTTTTAATTGTTTGCTCCTCTGTAGGGGGATGTTAATATCTCCCTCCAAGGTTTCTTATGAAGATTAAATGTGTCAGTAAAGTGCTTAGTAGAATGTTAGGCTTACAGTAAACACAAAAAACAAACAAAAAATACACTCATGGAGCTAAGAGTTTACCGATACCAGCTAAGAGCATCCTCAGGAAAGTTAAAGAGGATCAGCTAAGAAATAATAACTCAGAGAAGGGGACAGCTACAAAATAAATCTATCAAAATTAATAGCCTTCCTAAATGCCAGGATGACTTATTAGAAAGTATAATGGGAAAAAATAGATGCACTAAAGAAAGTATAAATTAAAGTTGAATATTTTAATAAATTCATAAAACATATAGACCAATGGGAAGAAATCTATAAATGTAGCTGATGACAAAGGAGATAATGTTGATGAATGGAGGACATACCTTCCTCCCATAATGAAAGACAGTGTTGTGAAAATACCGCTTTTCTTCAAAATAACCTAATTTTAATGTAACTCCAGTTGA